TCCACTGCATCCAAACCAGAAAACAATTATTACCAAAATCAGAACAGGACTCCAGACTTGTGGTTTAGCAGCAGCTCATGCTAACTATAATTTCCAGGTTTGGTAACTATGATTAATACTTAATGTGTTCATTACAGTGCACTGTGAAAAAAGAAAGGAAGGAGAGACACAAAAGCAAGGTGTGCAAGGAGAACACTTATGTGTATCCTAGAGAAAAAGCCTATAGTCCCTGAGTAAGTATCTGAGGGACCATAGGATGGTTTGGGAAATATCTGCGGCTGGCAACAGTGAAGTCTAAGACATGACCCCAGACCACTGCACCTCACAACTTGCCTGGAAAAAATGTGCTGGCTACTTCTCTGATGTTTGAAAAGCATCTTCAGGAGGAGGGTGTACTCATGAGTGGGGAGAGGAAGAGGCTGGAAAAACCAGGATATGAGTTATCCCGAACTTCCTCCAGGCTCATTCCCTGCCCTTATAAAATGCCCTTGCTGAATGGACTTGTTTAATGGAAATACAGGACAGGGAAGTAAAGATCATCTCGGCCACCCTTCCAACCCTGCAAGCTTCAGTCCAGCAGAACACAGGAATTTTGGAAGCTTACTGAGTTCAGAGAATTTCAAGCATAATCTATAAGACTGAGACTTTCATTTATTAATCCAAGTAATGTTTGGCCAGAGATGTCCTATATACTCTTTCTAGCAGGAATATTCACTTGATTAGTATCATAGCGTCTTCCAAAGACCTCCTACTTTGGGACAAGTATGGCAGTTCACTGAAATAGTTTAAATCTTCTGCAATGATTTCAGAAGGTTTCAGAAAACTTGTCAACAATTGTAATATGTGCAGGTTCTACAGTCTCATAAAAATTAACCCACCTTTAACATCCTTGAGAGAGTCACAAATTACGACCAAAGTAGTATGAAAGGAGATTGAGTTTAGAGGAATGTCCACAGCACTTACAACGATGGTCCTAATCATAAATGTAGATCTTTTACCATATATATACATTTATATATGCACTTACTGTTTTGCAAAATGAATATACAAGTAGTCATAGGAGAACTACTATACTAAGTATAAGAAACTGCTTGCCTATGTAACAGAACACTCATATAGTGTCCTTATAACCACCTCTTCCTAGAATCAGTAAAGGAACTATGTTTTCTCATCTACTCCAACAAAATGTTCAAGGATTGGTTAATATATGCACCAATATTTTCAACCTAGAAACCCAATATTTAGACTGCAATATTTAGATTGTAGTTCTGTGCCCACTTACCAGGGGGTAAGTCTCACTCAGCTCAATTGGACTTACTACAAATAAACATGTATAGTGTTTTGCTGTCACTTGCATTAATATACTTATTTTCTGGAATAGTAAATGCCAACACCCCTCTAAAATGAACTCCGAACATCTAAGTAGATGGCCAGACATTATTTTTCAAATATAAAAACATATGCACTGCTGCCCATGGGCACACAAGCCTTCACCATCAACAGGTTTATACTGTCAGGATACACTGTTGGACAGAATGCTCCTATTATGGAACGCTTTTTGTGTATTTAAAGGTTAGATTAACAAATAGTTATATTACTCTTCTGAAGATGAACCAGAGTGATTTTCAAATACATTTGCCCTTTGGTACAATGAAGCTAATATACAACATTCTGCAAATAACTGCAAGATGATTTCTAGCAATCAAAGATCCATGCTGCAATCCTAAGCGTAATTGTTTGACAGTAATTTCCTTTAAAACAGATTTACTTTGGAGTAAATGTTCCTTTAATTGCACTTCTGGTCCTTGTGATACTGGATCTACTTAAGCATACATAGCCCAAGTAGGTCAGTAGACATTAAGCATACACAACTGGACTGTCTCCAAGTTTGGTGTGTTTTAATATTTATATTATATGGACATTTAAATTCATCATATGTAGCCACAATAAAATCATACAGCAAAATAAATAAATACACTTAATTGTTTCTATACAAAATATTTCTTGTTTGGGGCAATTTTCAACCTCTAGCTTTGCTTGTGGTGGTTCAGGCAATCACTGTTTTGTAAAAAGCTAAAAAAGAAGCTTCTTCTCTTCCCTCAATTGTACTCATTTTGAAATGACGACAACTGCTCTTAACAAAACCATATCCCTAGGGTGAGAATTGTACTGAGGTGGAAAAGTACTAAGAAAATAATGTTGAGACATCCTATAGATTTATTGAAACAAAAGTATATGGTGACAAGAGAACAACTTGATTTACAGGCAATAAATATAATTATTTTACATAAGTATATAGCATTGCCTATACAATGATATCTAGCAAAACCAAGCATCTATCCTCTGACTGCCCCTCCTTCTAAACAATGCTCCTGATCCAGCACAAGTCCACTGACTGATTGGATCACAAAATCTTTTGGTTTGTTTCATAATATTGCATAGATCAAGCAAACTGTAGATTTGCTGCAAACTATAATGAATGGAGAGTTGAATGTATTTAGATCAAATAGCACCATCTAGCAGTTCCCCTAACTTCACTTCAAAAGATACTTATTACTTGGTGCCAGTTCAGTGTAGCTAGTTCACCTTCAAAAGCAAAAAAATATCCATATAGCTTCTTATCCTACTAACATGCCTTTGCTCAGAATATATACAGAAGAATATGTAAAGTGCTAGAACATTTCAGACCTGGACACATTCTAAGAATCTCCAACACAGCTATGGACTTACAGTACTACCAAAGCCCACCCACACCATTTTTGGTCCCATACACAGCATTCTGCAACTGAAGTTTGAACTGACAAAGCTTGCTACACATCAATTCCAACTCAAAATCCAGCTGCATAACTTTGCCTAAGAAATTTAAGTCTGTTTTGCTTAAAATAAGACAGTAAACTGTTTTTAAAACACTTTGCTTTACTTGGTTCACCAATTTACATTCTGAACATTCATCAATTTCTTTCAAATTTTAGTCACACTAATAGTATTTTTGTGTCTCTTCTGATACACAACGTTAGAGATATGAAGATCAAATATCTGCCAAAGATTTAAGCCTCTGGCAGGCTTCTTTGTCTTTGGAATCAGGAAGTAACTCTCTTCTTCAAAATGCTGCAGCAAGGAAAACCTTTAGGTAAAAGGTTCAGTGCAAACTGCCTCAAGGGAAACGTCTCAATCATGCTTAGCCCATTTGTTCTCATGTTGAGTAAAACTCCAAAGTGATGTAGAATGACATTTTAAGAAACTATATATACCAAAAACTTTTCTGGCTGGAAGTCCCTGACCTCAGGCATTTTACCCTAATCCTGTGAGTGAACTGATAAACTCCTTAGGTGGGAAAAGGTACATAATAAATGGTTTCTGTCTCAGCAGTTTGCATCCTATTAGAAACAGATCATTCCTTTTTCATAGCCATTCCCTTCTGTGTTCTACTCCTTTCAATGAGGAAAATGGAAGTTGCTACCTGTACAAGTTAGTTGTAGTTACAACTTCAAAACCTCAACTTTAAATCACAAATAAATGCAACAGCTTCAAGAAATCACCCTCTGCATTTTTGCTCACATTTGTTAACACTGCTAACCAGGAAAATCACTTTGTCCAATTCTTTGTAAAAAGTCACAAGCATGGGAAAGAGCATAAAAATGTATAATACTGTCTACTATTTTGTATTTTGGGTTTACAAGTCTCTATGTACTTAATTTTTAAAAGTTTTTGTATTTCAATAACAAGGGAATTAAGGGTATGTGCCATTCCTTCATCAAAATATGAACAGGCTTAAAACGCACTAACACCCATTTACTATTTACCCTCAACGTGCCCCATCCCCAAACAGGAACAACACTCAGTTGCTCTCCAGGCCCTGGGTCTACCCCTTTCCTTCCACACACAACCAGATTCCATCTTTCCCTTAAGAGCATGCCCTAATCTAGCAATCATTTGCACACACAAGATTTTAAAAACAGACTGCAGACTATTTCGGGTGCAAACCCCTGCATGTTTAGACAGAAAAGAAGTCCTACACCTCCCAGCATTCCTCAGCCAACTATGCTAACTGGGGAATGCTGGGAGTTGTAGGACTTTTTTTCCTGTCTAAACACGTACAAGATTGTGCCTTAGTTTTCTTCTTTAGATGCAGTACACTAGCCGTCTGCTCCCAGCCTAAACCAGGATGTGCCAAGACGAACAGTTCAAGGATCTATGAAAGAAGGATGGGGAAAAGAGAGAGAAATATTCGGTCCTGATTAAAAAAAAAAAAAAACGCGGGGAAGGGTGGAGGGAGTTGAGTGTCACGGAGTTTACAGGCAAAGCAAGGAGGCTTCTGTTTCTCTCTCTCTCCAGCGGAAGCTTCACACCAGCACACAGTCCAGACTCTTTTGTTACCAAAGTTACTCCAACACCATCTTCTTACCCATCCCCCCAAACCGGCACCATGACCCTTGGAGATGGGGAAGGAGGGGGCGGTCAGAAAGAAAACAAAACACAGGGAAAGGCTCTCGAGCCTAAACTCTAATCCTACCCTAAGCCTCCCAAGGAGTGAGGCACCATACAGTCTGCTTGAACCACTTTCTTCTCACAGATCGAGCTACAATCATCCGTTGCCGTCCAGGGCATGTGAGAGGCTCAAGCACGTCCTGTCTTGTCCTGTCCCCATGCGACGCGGAAGGAGCGCCCTACAACCCAGCCCCACCCCCCTCAGAGGGGACTCGCTACCCCCCGCCTGAACAAGAGGGTCTCGCGTACTTTTGCCATACACATGCGTGCGCGCGTGCGCGCGCTCCCGCGCGCACCCGCACACACCCTCCTGCCTACACCCCGACTTGTGGCGTCCCCCCTTCGCCGCTGCCGCCACCTCGTCGTTTTCCTTTTTCCCGCGCCGGGGCTGTGCTCCCCGAGCTCAAGCGAGACCCCCCTCCGCCACAAGCGGTAAAGTTACTTTGTGCGGGGCGTATGCGCGCCCACCTCCCCGCCCAGTCGGGCTGTGCGGTCCGGCGGGCTGTACTCACTTCTCCCTGGCCTGGCTGTCGGACGGGACGCTGCTGTTGCTCTTGCCTTTGCCGTACATGCCTGCAGAGAGCTCCGACTGTCACGCACCTGTCAACCCATCACAGCCTCCCTAGGAACAGCCCAGTCACCATGGAGACGCCGCCACACACACACGCCATTGGCCCGCTGCGCGCTTGGACACACCTCCCTCGCCATGACTGACAGGCAGAGACCAGGACAGGCTGCTCTCTCCTCCTCTCCGCTGGCTCCCTCCCCCCACCAGCCTCCGGCTCCTCCTCCCCCTCCCGCTCTCCCTTCCCCGGCGCAAGGGGGAATTAGAAACGGTTCTAGAAGGATTTTAAACAACTGGCTGTTCCGCACACTTGCCTTGCCGCCCTCCGCCGCAGCCAGAGACGGAGACTGCTGAGGAGAGACGGAAACTGCGGACTGGACTCCAAAGCCACCACAAGGCAGGGCGACTCAGGTTTTTTAATTCCTCATTGCGCGGGTTGCTTTGCCCTCTTCACCGTTCACCCCGCAACCCGCTTAGCTAGCAGGATCCTCCTTTCCACAGTCTCTCCCCCTCTCCGTTTAGTCAGAAAAGAAAGCAGCCTCCCGTAACTGCTAAACTAGTCTCAGCTTCTTTGCTTATCAACAGCTCGTGAACTCCCACCGCAACATCCTCGCTCACGACACACACAAACGCAGAGAGCGACTCAGAGGTACACAGAACCTCTCAAGTCCCACTCCGTAAGTCAAGCAGCACAAACACCCTGCTCCACATTCGATTGCAAAGGTTGCCCCAGGCTGCTCTTTCCGACGCAGTCGCTAGAATCAGCACAGTTTACTTCAAGCACCAACTTCCACACAACCAGCCACACATACTTGTCAACCTGCCAGAATTGTCAGGAGCTGTATGTTCCCTCAGCCCCTGTCCCTGAACTACCATAGTACCACAAGCACTGTCAGGGCTTCATCGCAGTCAACAGTTTTACCACCCTAGTGGATCTGATAGTTCTTAAAAAAAAAAACAAAAACCAGATTAAACTAAACAACTCTCTGAGCACATCTCACATTCTGGAATAGTATTGCATCATAAGTATTTTGGATTCCAGTCAGTTCTTACTTTATCAAGACCCAACTTCACCAGGGGTGCTTCCAGATGAGGCTTTTGTTATGAAATCGCCTTGCTTTGTTCATGGAATTTTCTGGGGTCCAGCTTATGTCACCTTGCATTGTAACCCTCAGGTATTTTCCCACCAGTTCTTCCACCTTTTTTCTTAACACAGAAAATCTAATAAAGAGGGGAAGACAGAGTAACTGCACAATGCTTTTGACTAGTAACAGTAAGATCCATCTGCCCCTAAGTCACCTGCATGGAATTTGGATGGTCCAGACCATCCAAATTCCAGATGTAAATAGAGCCCACATCAGTTGATCGTTGCGTAAATGAGTATATCTTGGGTCACAGACCTTCCTAGACCAATGTTATTTTAACAGAGCTAATCTATACAGCAAAATTTTCATATTCCATATCCACTACAGAATACATCATGGAGTTTCAGAACATTCTAGTGACATACTTCTGGGAAATCCCAAATCCAAAGCACAGATTGTCATGTACTGATTCTGGGAGCCCGCAATGCAAAGAAATGTCACATTTGTCTTTGCTGACAACAACAAAGCTGGGCTTAAGGCATCACAGAACCAACATTTAGGGCACAGAGGTTTCTGGACCTTCACATGACACTTGTTATATAATAAGATATGTTTAGTGTAATTGTAGACTGTGCCAATTTCCAGACAAGTTGTGGACCACCTAACAACTTCTTGTAGTTGGAATTCTGGGGAACTGCTGGAATAGAAGAACTTTGGTTTTACACAGTAATATGCTTCCTAGGCCCTTAAGGTTTTGCACACCTAAGAAATTCTGACTATGCACTCTTGCTTTGTAAATGTAAGGTGTGGTAATGGCGCACAAACAGTCAGGTAAAAGAGAAAGAGCATAGTTCATACAAAACTAAAATCAACTCCCTCCTACTTTAGAGGAGAGATTAGGAAAACATTTTGTGAAAAAAATTAGGACATGGGAAAGTGTGTACGATTTATCAGAGTTCATAAGGTAAACAGCATGGAGAACATGATATGGATATATGTTAAACTTCAGAATGTAAAACTCATGAGGATCCATTATTAGGTATCTGGCTTTGAAATATATTGAGCGATCTGCAAAGGGAACAGAAATATAATTTTCACAATGTAAAAAGCAGTCCTAGATATGAGATATGTTTAGAACATAAATGCAGGAAGCCCATATGTGAAAAGGTTCAGGAAATTACACTTGTGTCACCCTAAGTACCTGCTTCAGGTAAAGGCATAGGTAATCTAAAGTACAGATTTAGTAGTAAAAAATCTAGATTTGCTCATTTTAGAATGTAGAACAAGTCTGGCTGAGGAAGAATCAATGAGATGTCTATGAGGTCTTGCCCATCAACATTTTAGAACTCTTTGAGAGTGTCAGAAAATAAGTAGCTGGAAGTGATCTGAGAGACATTATATATTTGTACTTTCAAAAAGCTTTTAATGTCCTTCAGCAAAGGCTCCTAGCAGTGATGAAGTAAGAGAATCATCTTCCTCTTATGATTTGGTAACTCATTTAAAAAACCAGGGAGTATAAAGAAGGAAAAATGAATCATTTCATAACAGAGGGAAGTAAGCAGTGGCATTCCCTAAAGATTTATATTCTAAATGATATAAAGAGAGGAGTAACAGTGAACTAGTCATGTTTTCAGAAAATGCCAAATTATTTAGGATGATGGCATCCTTAAGAGATTATTCTGAGCTGTATAGGATTGCTTTATTTTGGTTTTATGGGCAATAGAATGGCAGATGAAATTTAATGTTAGTAAGTACAAAGTGTCAATGTACAAAGTAATGTACTTTAGGGCAATTTCCCCCTCCCCCCAATTTCCTACATGCACTGATGAGATCTCAATTTATTATTACTACCTAGGGAAGATAGTTTGAGCTTATAATGAAAATGTTAACTCAGTGCTGTTGCAATGTACAAATTCAGTGTTAGGAATTATTGGTAAAGGAACTAAAACTGAAACAAGTACGAAAATATTGTTAGATAATTGAACAGTGTTGCCACATTTAAAATACTGTGTGTATTTCAGGTCACCCAATATCTAAAACAATATCATAGTGCTGCAAAAATACAGAAGACAGAAACTCAAATGTAAATAGGTTACAAACCTCTTCTAGAAGGGAAGGCTGAAGAGATGTATATTTTTGGGTATGGAAAAAAGGGAAGGTAGAACATGAAACAGGTTCAAACACTTATTGCCATAATATGTGCAAAGAACATTGGGATTTCCTATTTAGGAAAAAGGTACACAATATGGGGAGCATGATAGACATTTACAAAATGGAGGCAATTACATGGTCAGAAATGGGCTTGTGGTGAGATTCTGGAAAAGGAAGAAAGGAAGTCTGTATAGCTACATGATAAGATAAGCTGCTCAAACTGACAAGTTAATTTGGATGTGGTCTTTGTTTTTTAATGTTGTTATTTACTATCAAGTTGTCTCCAATTTATGGCAACCCTATGAATGAAAACCCTCCAAAATGTTCTGTCCATGACATCCTTGCTTAGCTGTTTTAAATTCAAGCCTGTGGCTTCCCTTATGGAGTCTATCCACCTCTTATTGGGCCTTCCTTCTCTTTTTCTGCCTTTGGATTTCCCTAACAGTTTTTTTATATAGTCTGATACATTCCTGTTGACCTATGGTGTAACTGACAATGTTCAGACTGTGGGATCAACTAACAGTATTCCAGTTAGAGTTCCAAGTCAGAACTCACTTTGGATCCACAGAGTTTAATCTGAGAGACCAGAGTTCTGGGAATATAGAAGGTAAGCCCTAGAAGGCTATGTGGTAGGGATCCTGATCTGTCACCCAATCAGCAAATTACATGTTTGTATGTTAATTACTTATTTAAGCTTTAGATATTTCCCCTGTTCTTATTGGCTAGTCCTGGGCTGGAGTTTTTTTGGAAAATGATATATGGGCTGCAAACCAGAATATAAGTCTGCGTCTGTCACATGTTGATCAAAGCAACTCACATTGCTTTTATCTAATCTCTGATGCTTGTTAAAGGTGCCTTGTAAAAAACAGTGCTTCAGCAAAAAGCATTCTACACCTATGTATACCCAAAGTCAGTGATATAATGGAGTCTGGGCTCACAGGACTGAAGTGCTAGGATATTTTGATTAACAGGTATGATGATGTCATTGGTTACCACCACCCCAGACTTCCATGTTCCTTCTGAGTTAGTTATAAACTTCACATCTGAGGAGAATAATGAGCATCTGTCCTTAAAATGTATCACTGCAGCATTGCCCAAGACATTCAGTATCATTCAGTCTGCCCTGTGGCTAGCATCTGCTAGGAAATAACATAGCAAACATAGAAACACAGAAACAAAGCTAGTCAGAAGGGGCCTCCTGAGCCATCTAATCTAACCCCTGACTCCAGCCAGCTCTGCCCATGACATGCCTCCAGCCTATCCTTAAACACCCTTACTGATGGGGCTTCAACCACCTCCCATGGAAGCCCATTCCATACCCTAGAGGTCCTAACCATCAGGAAGTATCTCCTGGCATCCACCTTGAATCTTGATTCCCTGAGCTTTGCTCCATTGGAATGCATCTTGCCCTCATCAGCAGGGGAAAAAAGGTCACAACCTACCTTTATGTAACACCCCCTCACATACCTATATGTCACCAACAGGTCCCCTCTGATTCTCCTCTTCTTAAGACTGAAAAGACCCAGTTCCCTCAGTCTCTCCTCATATGGCTTACCCTGCAAACCAGCTGCCATCCTTGTGGTCCTCTGCTGCACTGATTCCAACCTTGCTATATCCCTCTTGTAACGAGGGGCCCAGAACTGAACACAATACTCCAGCTCCAGGTGCACCAGAGTTGTACAGAGCGGCAGTAATACCTCTCTTGATCTAGAAGCCACGCTTCTGGCTAAGCAACCAAGGGTGGTGTTTGCCCTCTTGACCACTGCCAACTCATGTTTAGCCTGTGGTTGACCAGCACCCCGAGATTCTTTTCACAAATGCTGCTTTCCAGCCACTTGTCCCCTAACCTGTCCTTATGA